TCGAGCTCGCGCTCCGCCCGTTCAGTCCCAGTCTCGCTCATTCAAAGCCGGGCGCGCGCCTCGTCGCAACCGCCGTTGCCGCCGCGCAGCTGCCATGGCCGCCCCTTCCTCGAGAAACCCTCCCCCCGCTCCTCCCCCTGGGGCCTACTTGAAGGGGGCTCTCGGCTGTCTCCAGGCCCTCACTTCCGCACCCCGCCCCAGGGTCTGTGTTTCCAATAGGCGAGAGGCTTCGGGTCGGGCGTCCGGGCTGAGAACCAATGAGCGCCTGGGGGCGGGGCGAGCAGCGGCAGGCGCGGTGGCGGCCAAGGCTTGGTCAGCCCTAGGGTTTGTGACTATTGCTGATTTTACGGACGGTTCAGTCGCGGAGCGCCTAGGTTTTCCCTGGTGTGGCCTTGCTTTCTATATAGAGTGCCTCCGATCCAACTATGGCCTTTACCGTTCCACCAACAGACTTCCCTTACCGTCTGGGACCGAGAGAAAGCAGTGTTTAGATAGCAAAAAATTAGGGAGCCCCGTTGTATCGGGATGATTTGAATGCGGGTAGGCCAGCTCTCAATCATTCTGTTACCTGAGGGGTGCGAAACGCTGAGTTTAATTTAGGACTTGGCCTCTATCAAGTAATTTTTTATTGAATTTCCTTTAACTGGAAGTTAAAAAGTGGCACTTCACCGTGTTCTTGCATTTGTTCCTCCCATGCGGCACAAACTAGCCATATTCCCAAGTTAGTGTTCTTTCTGTGGTTCTTTTTTTGAATCCTGATTCATTTTTTTAATCCCATGTGATATTAAAAGGCTAGGGCCTTTTGCTGTTGTGGGCGAGGGGCCTTCAGAAAACTATTTGCTTCTCTGGTGACTGGTGAGAGAAGACTGGTGAGAGACCAAAGTTTATATGGTCAAAGGTTGAAATCAGTTCATGCAAATGTTCCCCAACCAGCCTTTTTCCTTTGCTACTTTTTTTTTTTATGTACTACAACTACCTTGGTTCTGTCACCTTGACCAGCACCCACCTACCCACTTAACTATTTATCCCCAAGAGGGGAAGAAAGGGAACGTTTATGACTCTTGGTGTGAAATTATTCTGTGTAACTTTAGATACGTTATTTCATCTCTAATCTTCAGTTTCCGTATCTGTAAAATGGCCATGATAGTTCCTACTTCATGGAATGGCTAATGTTTGCAAAGCTCTTAGGGCAGAGCCTAGCACAGAACAAACATTCACAGATATGAGCTGTTGCTACCTCTGGTACTACTGCTACACTAGACATCATCATTCCCAGTTATTACACCTCCCTGAGTCCAGTAAACCACCTGCAGACCCTTAAACATCTGCACTAACCTTAATCTTTTCAAAGGCCTAAATTCCAATAATTTAGAATTTCCAAAATGATTTTGGATTCCAAAAACCTAATAATCCAAAATAGTCTACATCTTGACATTAAATGTTTTCAAAATGTTCTTCCTGAAAGACTTTTATCTTTGCTTCAAATTATTTGTTATACCTCTATGATATTGTCTTTTTTATTATCCTTCAGTTTTATTTTTTTCAGTTTTCTTTATTAAATGTTCCATTTCCAAATGAAACAAAAGGTATATAATTTTCTAGAAACAACTAGTTGTGAATATTTGTTTCCCAGCACAGTAACAAAACAAAGCTTGCTAAAGATTGCACACTTAAAGTTTACTTTAAAAAATACTTATAAAAGAATAATTTAAAAATCATCTTTAGTCATTGAGTAGTATTCCCCTAATTGGGGATCATAGGTGCCAATAATTTGAGATCTTGCTTTCGAACCAACTCTTGGGAGTGTGCAATTGAAGTCCTGTCCTCTGCCCAAGGCTTGTGTGAGGCAAGAGCAGGGGACCACCAACTGTCAAATAGGAGGAGCATAAGAGATAGAAAGATTTCTATGTATGAAAGATTTCTTTCTTGATTGCCTCTGCTTCACAGGGTATAGTTAATTACACCTGCTCTACGTCAAGACCGTTTTGCTAGTTTTAAGGCTTCTGATCTGCCTCTACCAAATCTCCAGTTACCAGCTTGATTTATTCCTTCCTTCCTTCCTTCCGTCCGTCCGTCCGTCCTTCCTTCCTTCCTATCAGCTCTCAACTCACCACTTACTCTCCATTTCAAAGCCTGTATAGGCTCTCTTGTTCTGAGTTCTCCAGCTGGATCTGAGTACTTGTCCTGTCAACTGACCTCCCATCCCTTCCCAGGAGACCTTGCAAACACAGCCCATTGCTTCCAGGTCTCCCCCAACCCAGTTCCCTGGCTTTTCACCAAAAGAGTTTTTTCCTCAAGCACAATTTTAGGCCTGCTGTTCTGACTTGGAAATTAAAGGCTTTTTATTAATGAGAAGCTGTTCACAGTTGAATACAGATCATAAAGTCACATTCATTTCTTGATCAAGCAAAACAAAGCCTTGCAGATCATCCATGACAGTTTTAAACAGATATATTTGAAAACAAAGGATTATCTGATGATCATTTTAATGGCTTGTTTTATTGATCGTTTTATTCTAGAAAATTTTGCTTGCTTTCAATATATGTTTTAATATTCTGGAAAATTATAATTTATTTTTTTAATATCCATAGTCAGTTGCTTAATAGAGAAATGAAAAAGTCTGAAGCAGCTTTTTAATTTCTATTAAAAGAAAATTAACTTTCCATGAAGCATTTAAATATTTTTCATCATAATTATTACTACAGCATATCTTCAATTAGAAGTAATTTTTATTGCTCAATACAGGAAGACCCAAGATAAGAACAACTTAGAGTTAACCAAGTCCCTTCAAAAGAGGCCTGGATAGGAATGAAGGGAGGTAATCCATGTCTTTCACTAGAAATTAATTCAAATGAAAAGAGGGGATAAACTTTCTATGTTCCATTAGTGAGGTTCCCCAATGTCATATGTCTTGGTTAATGTCCACATTGTTATTAGAGCTCTAATATAGGTCAGCTATATCATGAGTTAAGTCAATGATCTGAGCAGGTCTGGCCATTTATTATTTCTAAGGATAAGTGTTGAGATTTATATGACCAATATAAAACAATAGTTTATAACATGATCTATCTTGTATATGAGTTGAAAACTTAAATATAAAACAACACTGACAATGGAAGCCTAATCCATTCAGCTACAGCATGGTAGACATTGTGGCTTTTATCTTGAACAATTTTGAGCCTCAGTTTTCTCATATGCAAAATTAGGTTAATAATTCTGGCTTTATGGATTTATTTTACACAGTAAGTGGCATAATGTATGTGGAAATGCGTGGGAAACAAAGCAATAGAATCGCTGGAAGCTTTCAGGCGTACAGGAAATGCGTGGGAAACAAAGCAATAGAATCACTGAAAGCTTTCAGGCATATCATCTTCAAGCCCAGTAGAATCTTCTTTTAGCTACAACAGGGACTAGTGCCTCCAAAGAAAAGAGAGGTAAATTTTCTGTCATCAGCAATCAGAAATAGACATATTTGTTAGTAGCACATTAAAAAAAGAAGAGGTGGAAACACTATGCTTTGAAGCTGTGCTCTGGGTACCTCCCCCACCTCCTTTGCCCCTTTAGCTTTAAAGACATAAGAGGAAAAAGCAGATGTTAGTAGGAAAACACCTGCAACCCTGCCCCTTCCTCTCCGGGCTTTGTCTCACCACTCGTGGGATATTTTTCTCATAGAGGTATCTGTTACCAAGCTTCATCCATTCTTGGTGTCCATCATTTTAGCACACCAGAATTATCATAATGATGTCCTAACTAGTATTTTGTATTTTCTCCTTTCTCCAAATCTCTAAATCAGTTTGGTCCTTTGCTGTATGATTAATATAAATATTTTTAAAACAGACTTCATGGTAACGGTCCCATTCAAAATAGAGATTTGTTATTGTCTATCAATTCATATTCACTTGGGAGGATACATTGTTGCTTTTTAAACTTATCCTTTGGAACTGCTCCTTCTGAATGACCCTGTGACAACCTCTGGCCCTTTAAAATATCAGACATATATCAGCAATTGTTGTTAAAGGTGTTTGTCTGTATATACTGTACATTTCAAATGGCGAAAATTAACTTTCCTCCTCATCATGTAATATATAATTCTTGCTGTGGCTTTTTATTTGAAATTAAATCCTTTATAAGTGAGAATTAAATCTATGTTATAATCATACTAGAAATTTTCAGCATAAAAATTTAATATGTTATTTTCTCTCTTCCTAGGGAGAACTTATGTGTATAAAGGATCATCTGCCTAAATACATAAATTACTCTAAAGAAAAACCGAATGAAAATACTCTTACCACATAGCCAGACACACTCATAATATCCAAAAGGAATCATTTTTTCTGCTTATAGGCACTGAGCCTATTACTATAGTAACCATAACTAGTTGGTATATAACTAGGTGTGAATTTTATAGTACACTGTTATTTGAAATGTTAAGTCAGTAAATCAGGATAAAGTGCAATTCAGTAATATTTTGGAAGGATTTCTTTGCCTCAGAAATCTGTTAGAGGAAAAGTTTCATCATGCTGTCTATTCATTTGTTTAGACAGTTTATTCAAACCTTGCCATGGGCACAGGTATGCTAAACATGTTAAAGAAATCAAGAGAACACGCAACCTTAACCTAAAGGAACTGATAAACTCAACATGTCATGGGTAACTAGAATTGATGGAAGAACAGTTTTTTTCATAAGGAACTTTCCAATTTAAGAGTCATCTGATCATAATAACTAGAGTAGTGTATTAGGGCTTGCAAATAAGTTGGCAAGATGTTTGC